GGGGATCGATCAATGTGCGAGATGACATTCCTGTCCATCAGGCTAGGGATTACATTTCAAACGGGATTTGCTGTTTTAGTTAATTTCATAATTATGACAGAGTTAGGTTTGAAGTTAAAACATGGATCTCTCTTTTTATATGTTATCGTTTTTTTTTTGTTTTTTAAAGTTTACCAATCTATCTCTTATTTACACTATCTATCTATCCTGATCTATCAGTGAAAGCTGTTCCAGTTCTATCGCATATCCTCATTTCATCTCAATCACTCTAAACAAAATACCCTCGACTGTGGGCGTCTAGAACAACCACGACACAAACCTCCTGTAGAACCAGTTGTACCGCTGCTTCTCCTCGGACAGCGCCGCCTGCCTCGCCAAAAACTCAGCTTCCTCGCGATCAATCTCGTCCTTGCCCGACCACAGGTCCGCCTCACGGGGGTCAACGCTCTTGGAACCCGTCACGATCTTGTAGCCAAAGATGAGAATCAGATACACGGGGATACCGAGGTAGGACGTGATGAAGGTCTTGTAGTCAAAGTTGCCCCACTTGGGGTTGTGCGTGAAGGCGTCGAACGACTTGGTCAGGGCGATGATGACGCAGAAGAAGAGCGCGAACCACGACCCGGCGGGTCCAAAGGGCGCCTTGAAGGCGAGATCCTGCTCCGGCACCTTCTGCGCTTTCCGCGCCCGCACGAAGTAGATGTGCGTCACCAGGATCGAGATCCAGGTTAGGATCCCGAAGATCGTCACCAGGTTGACGAAGTACCCGAACACTGTCTTCGAGTCGCTCGACACGTTCATGTACGCCAGCAGCGCGAACAGCGATGACACTCCCAGCGCGTAGATCGGAACGCCCCGTCCATCGGTGTACGACAGGAACGCGGGCGCCTTGCCTTCCCGCGCAAGCCCGTAGACCGTCCGCGTCGCGATGTAGAGGTCCGAGTTGGACGCCGAGAAGACAAACAGCAGGATGCACGCGTTCAAGATGTGCGGCAGCGCCGGGATGCCGGCCAGCTGGATGGCGACGACGAAGGGAGACGCAGCAGCCGAGCTGGACGCCTTGTTGGCAAAGGCAAGTTCCTTGGAGTTGTACGGCACCAGCATGCCCACCAGAAAAACGCTCAGGACGTAGAACACGAGGATCCGGAAGAAGGTGAGTCGGATCGCCCGGGGGATCGTCCGCCGAGGGTTCTGCGCCTCACCCACCGTGACCCCGACCAGCTCCGTGCCCAAGTACGCAAAGGTCGCCGTCACCATGGTGGACCAGAACGCGTAGAATCTGCCTGCGGAGCCGTCGTCGATATACGTATTGAAAGCGCCGGGGTTCTTCCAGTATCGAAACCCCTTCCGGTCATGGTCAGGGCCGCCTCCCAGCGCGAGGATAAATGACAGAAGGATAAGGCCAAGGATGACGATGACCTTGAAGGACGACAGCCAGAACTCGAACTCGCCGAAGAATCGGATCCCGAAGTAGTTGATGGCAACGATCAGCACGAGAAAGATAGTGATCCAGACCCCTGCGTTGACTTTTTCGGCGGGGATCCAATACGATATCACCAACGCGCCGGCCGTCATCTGGTTAGGGGTGATCAATAGGTATTTAATAAAGTACCTACACTGATCAGCAAGAGCCGCAAATACAACAAATGATTGCACCTACGTCCAGCCCATTGCGAAACCGAGAGCAGGGTCACAGAAGCGAACCGCATATCCGGTGAAACCAGACGGCAGAGGCAGCCAGGCGGCCATCTCTCCGAGAGCACACATGACCAGGTAGACGATGAACCCGACAAACGCGTAGGAGATTAGGATCGAGGCAGGCTAGAATGGTTAGAACGGTGCCATCACTTTGAAATTATCCTATCCTACTTACGCCGCCTCTATACCCTAGTTAGCTTGCATACGCTGAGAATCAACTTGACAAAACTCACTTCGCCAGTGCGCTCCCCGTGCCAACAATCAAGCCCGTACCAATAGCGCCGCCAATTGCTGTCGACATCAATCCTGAATTCTCGCCAGTATCCAAAACAGCAGATTCTCATACCAATCATGGTAATGTGACGGGCTTTCAAGCCACGGTGAAGGTCAACATGGCGCCCTTCGTGGCGGGCGATTCCCTCCTCGGGAGCCTCAGCGGCGGCGGCATCAAACTCATTCTTGGTAGCAGACAAGGCTTCGTCTTTGCCGTTCCATGGCGCCATTTTGACCTCGACGTCTTAACTCAGACAATGTTCTGTGAGAGACACGGCGATGCGATACTGTTGCAGAGAACACAGCTCTGAGCTAATGCAGGTCGGCACCGCTGTTAATAAATAAGTCACACGAGGAGGGCGATTCCCCCGCGCAAAAAAAAAAAAGGAAGACAGAGGCTGCCCGCTCGTATTCAGGTCTAGGGTACAGTACAAGATCAAAAAGAAGGCGCGGGAGGCAGAAGAATTAAAAGAGGCTCACCCGAGGGAGCAGAAAAGCCAAGAAAACTCCTCCGGGGGATATCTGAGCCTCTCTTATCTCGCCCACAATTCCAATATTAATTTCTTCTACTATCAGTCTCTGTGCGCAGGGCGGAGGCGACCACGCCCCGCCCGCAGGCGCCCGTTCGCCAAGAAGACACGGGCAATTGTGGAGTGGACGTGCACACGAGCTGTCCGGGGCCCAGCTCAGGCTCAGGGCTCAGTCCCAACCATCAGGACCCTGAGCCTTAGCAGATGCATCTCGACGAGCGAGGCCGCGGCTGAGCAAGGGCTGCGTCACTGGCGGCGGAGAGGGCGTGTTTCCGCAGGCAAGCCAGCACGCAAATCGCCAAGACCTGCCCGAGGAGGCAACACTCCGTCCTGTCAGCCGTTCTGATTGGCCGGAGGCAGCTTGCCAAGCTCAGATAAAAATTTCTCGTCTTGGCAGCCCCGATGCCAGCCATGAATAGCCTTGCACGCACGCAGCATGAGGACGAATCAAGCGATTTTGTCAGATAACGGACGGGCGCAAGGAGAACAATTCGAGAATTGCCCCGCAAATCTGTTGCCGGTGTGCCTCGGGCGGGTTGTGTTCCAGACCGGGCCGGGCAAGATACGAGGCACAAGGCACGATACGAGGCAGTCCCGCAGGGCGCAGCAGCAGTTGTTGCCCCGTAGATTCAGATTCAGCCAGTTGCTACAGTGTGGGACACTGTCCAGACACGGTGAGAAAGGATTGCAATTCAATTCCTGAAACTTTTGTTCTCCTTCACAATAAGAGTCGATCGATGTCCAAGTTCAACTGCGAGTCGGGTACGTAGGTACATTGCATACTTGGAGTCATAATACTTCAATCGAAATCATTCTGTTGCTGGTGGGTATAGTCAACGTCTTTTTAAAATGTCACAGATAACACTGCCTCAATGCGTTATGCAACCGAGCCTGCAATGCATGTCACGCGCAGACCTCGGGTCTCCAAATCGAGCAAACTGCAGAAACGAAAACAGAGAACTCGAGTGTCTATCTCTATAAGAAACCAGTAATAATAGAGCAAGTTCCGTCCAAACAGGCCAGGAGAAGCGAGCCCTGCTGCTCCTCGATGATGACGCGAAAGCTTCACAGAAGCTCTAAGCGGGAATTTTGGTCCTCGAGACCAGTCGCCTGTCCATTCATCGACAGCTTCAGATCAATAGATTCTCCTGATCCGGTCCGTGTAGATGCCTGTCGCCGTTCCGCCCAGAAGCTCCTTCAAGTAGTCCTCAAAGAGGATCGGCTTGAAGTCCGGGTACAGCTCTTTGGCATCCAGATAGCCAAGATACTTGGCGTATTCGGGCCGGTTGTCGCCGCGGATGCCCCGGGACAACTGGTACTCGGCTGCATAGCGCGGGATGAATTTGGTCGGGTCGAATGGATATGTTTCGCTCGACTGCCGGGCCTCTTGGACCCGCTGCTGAACGGTTGCTTCCGACACCTGCGGGGAAGACAAGTCAATCCAAAAAAAAAATTCAATTCAATGGCATGGGACGGCCGGAACCGGGACACCCACATATTTCCTCTCGATCTTCTCTCCACTGAGTTTCTCAAGCATGGAGTAGATCTCGTGCGGGGTCATGACCGTGTTGTAGGCGAACACCATCTTGTTCACCGTCCGCGGGTCAGCGATGATTCTGGCCACGTAACGGCCGATATCCCTCAGGTCGGTGATGGCGCTGGGAGTCGTGCCATCGCCGATGATCTCGTCGTTGGCCATGGTCATGGCATAGTCAATCTTCCCGGAAGCCAGACGAGGGTACGAGATTTGGTACCACCAGCCGACGTCGATGATGGTGTAGGGCAGCCATAATTGTTTGATATGGTTATAGACGGCCTCTTTCTAGACGGACGGCATAAGTATCGCGTGGACGACAGAAAGAACGCAGACTCACCTCATCTCTGAGCCACATGATTCCCCCGGGAGGAGCCACGGTGATGAAGCCGCAGGGCACAAACCGCTTCACGCCAGCGATTTTCGCCGCGTTTGCCAGGGGTATCTGAGTCCGTTGATCTGGTGGCCCAACGCTGCAGACGACGACATCAATCCCAGAGAGGGCCTCCACCAATTCCTCCTGAGGGGCGTTCAAGTCGCATTGGCGAACTTTGAGGCCCCATTTCTGCAGTTCGAGAAGCTGGGGCTTTGATGCTGATGCGGGGCGCGTCAGAGCGAAGACTTCCTATAGTACGCCGGTTAGCTACGTCCATATCGTAAAAAGAGGGATTTGTCATCGTACAAAGTTCCCCGACTCAAGCAGGCCTTTCGCAATCGACCCTCCCGTCTCACCGGTCGCTCCGACCAGCAGAACCTTGGTGAGAGCCATCTTGAACCGAGACGCTGTGGTGCAATTCACAGTCGCAGAACGCAATGCGAGGATCAGATCAGTCCTCACTGGTCAGTTAAAGAGGAAAAGGTTTACGACGTCTTTTAAGGACGGCGTCCTCGCGATAAAAATCGGTTACCCACACATGCGGGTGGGTGGTATAGTGGGTCGTGAGATGGGTGTGATGGAGAAGGCACGTCCTTGCCATAGGCGTGTGGAGTGCCAGCAAAGGCAGACTCGATTATCGTCTACCACTGATGTATGACCACTGTATGGATAGTTTCTGTCATCCTGCAAGGTCAATAATTGAATTTGGCCGTGTTCATGATCTCGACGTTGCGGTTCCGACTGGCGTCCCATTACGTCATGCCCGTCTTGCACCGGCCCGAGAAAGAAACATCGCGATCGAGTAGTTCCTTGCAGATCGAGTTGATCGGATTCTATATAACTTCAAAATAGTTACTCATGTCTGCTACAGATCATGCAGAGCATGGGATGACAGTGTCTGCAGGCCAGTTCAGACGTGCCTTTGCATAACACCTAAGGAACTCGGAATACTCCGTGCAATCAAGAGAAGAACCATACTGCAGCTGACAGTTGTCCTAATGGTAGTAGTAGGCACAGTTTGCAGGCTGCTTCCCGTACTATGGTCGCCATGTCAGAGGGTAATGGCCTCTCAGAGACCACCACATCACGATGAGGAAGAGTGCATAAAACGAGGCTACGGAGTATGACATTCATCGGGATTACCCCGTCGTCCTTAGTGTCCCTGAAGTCTTGTAGACCCTAGAACCCTCACTATAACAAAACTGGCCATTTAATTCTGATTAATCAGGGAACCATATTCATATCGAGCCTTGGAACCTCTTTTGGGTTTCTTCCCAGGTTGGTCATGTGATTTTATCAACGAAGAGAGGATGTGAGGTTGTACCTATCCCATCTGGCAAGAAAAGTATCCTATCTTATTTGCCATTATAGTCGCAACACACAGAAGCAGGTACAGATGATATCTCTTTATTTTCTTGTTGGTTACGATCTGTTTAGGGGTCCATCCAAGCAGCAGTCTTGGTTCTGTATATATTCTGGTTTTTTTCTGTTAGAAAATAACGACAGACCACAGTATATAGAATCTCATTTCCATATCGAAGAAAGAATTTTCGCCATATAATTTTGCTGTGAAATACTCGGTACGTGTCTTGTTGTGCACTCCGTAACAAGGGGCAGCAGACAAGAATCGAGTGGCCGGAGTACGGACAATATTTTTTGCGGTGCAGCCAATCAGAAGCGCCTTCCGAAGGGGTGTGACAGAGAGCAAACGGCCAGCGATGAGAGTTCTTTGTCTCCGCAGCATTCTTCTGGCTTGGCATGTCAATGCTGCCCAGGGAGCCAGGATGTGCTCCGTTATTCTACTCTATTCAATACCATCGCCAACGTGGATTTTCATCGTCAATCTGGATCCTTCTACAAATTGACCTCGACTGCCTCTGTACAGGACTCACTGTGTTCTTGTACAGGCGCTGCTGCTGCATAACACGACAGCCGGGCCGGGCAAACGAAGTTCCGAAATTGGGGGAGCCAGCCGGGGCGTGTGATTGGCTGCGGGGGGGCCTCCACGTCATGGTTCCGGATCCGGCTCAGGAGAAGTTCATCGCCCCCTGGCTGAGACAAGCATGAGGTAACATCAGCAGATCGTCATTCCTGCGACTGTCGTGTCTCGTCTCTCAATATGCTGACCAGCCAAAGGG